ATAGATGGGGTTGAGCCTGGGGGTGGCGAAACTTCCTTGCATGCTCAGAGCTCAACCCTGCAGGCAGAGCTGTCGGTGCTCACTAGGATGGGTTCAGCGTGCTACCTGGTGGTCCTGAGGACGGTTTGGGGCTATTTCTGCTGTTTGACAGCAATATGGGGTTCACCCTGACTTGCACCTTCCCCACCCTGCAAAGCTGGAGTGAAAACCCACCACAGCCCCAAGCCCAAGGTCAGGGGATGTGCTCTGAGCACTGACAGAGCTGTGGTGTCCCCACTGAGCACAGGGAGTGTGACCAGATGGCCTCTAAGGGTCCCTTCCAACTCCAGCCATCCTGTGATTCTATGACATATTTGCAACACAAACATCCTAAGTACTCAGAGCCCAGCAGGAAGGTGTGAGCCTGGGAGAGCTTTCCTCAGGGCTGTGTGCTTCTCACCCTGCAGGGCTGGGAGCGCGTCCCCCCGGGCGGTCACAGGGAATCTGCACGGCGAGGACGGCGCTGGCTGAATGAGGATGACATGCGTTGGCCCAGAAAGAGAAGGGCAGAGATTAGCCGTGGACAAGCTCAAGGGAAGGCAAGTGTCCAACCCTGAGTGCCAAGCCTGGTTTTGTTTTAGCCTTAACTGCGCTTTTTTGTTTGTTTGTTTGTTGGTGTAAAAACCTTTCTGTTGGAAATCAGTTTAACTTTAAGCTTCCTGAGAAGAAAAGCCTGTGAGAAAGCTCTGCCCATGCCTGGCTTGCTCGGGAGGCTACAATGGAAGTCTCGGCTGCTTATGGGCTCATATTTCTATGGCTACAGCACCCAGTGTGATTCCCCATGCAGAATGACCCACGGGAGCTGGGCACTGGGATGGGAGTGGAGTACAGCCTGTGGAGGCTGTGTTCCAGCTGCTGGGAAGTGCAGAGATGCTGTGCTGCTGCTTCACACCTTTTCTCCCCTGACCCCACACACAGCCTTGCTTTGGTCTTGAGACCAGGGGAAAATAAGGCAGAGGAGAACGAGACAAACCTGGATATGAGGAATGCTGAGCACCCGTTGTGTCCTCTGTAGGTTACAGGCGGTTTGGGCACACAGCACTCCAAAACCAGCCTGCGGCTTACTGAGACCAGCAGGGGCTGAGCATGGCCACAGGACCACCCTGGTGTCCCCAGGGCCATCAGTCAGCACCAGTTGTCTCCTTGTCCCATTGAGTGGCCAGTGGGAACAGGAAGGCCCTGGAGGGTTTGATTTCCCCAGCTGTGGTGAGGATGGAGGGGAGCCCAGGGGCTTCTATAGGTAGCACTGCCCACAGATCTCTCCCTGAGCTGCCACTGAAATGAGAACGGTCCACCCCAGGTCTGCCTGGAGGAAGTTTCCCATTGGGAATGAGGCAGCCCGGTCCCTGGCAATTCCCAGTCCTGGAGATGACGTTTCCCTTCAGCAGGAGGAGAGGCCGGATCACAAACTGCTCTGACACAGACACATCACAGCCTGGGAACCACCATGCACCACAGCACGGAGCAGAGCCTGACACCAGCTCTGTGCGCCGGGTGCCAAATCCCATATCTGAACACACAATATGTTTCCTTTTTCTCACTGCAGCCACACTCATTATTGCTCAGTGCTCTCCAGGCATAACACAGGGCCAAAATCTGAGATGAGCCCAGCACCTGCAGACCCCATTGATGTCAGAGCCATGTGCAGGTGCCGGTGCATCTCTCCACAAAGCGCTCGGGGCGGCACTGGGAACAGTGATGGGAGGTGGTTCCCAAAGAGCCTTCAGCCTGCACCGGCTGGAAAATGCACTAGTGGCATTTTGTGCAAGTGAAGGGGGGTTTTCTGAAGGGTTTCATGGCAGTTCTCATCTGCATTGTGAGCGGCTCATGAGAAATTGTGGGGTGGTGTTGATTGCATTGCAGGGATTTCCCTAAATCTGGTTGAAGCCTGCGTCCCTGGCTGCACTTCTGTGCATCTGCACCAGCTCACCAGCAACCGAGCTCTGAAGGCATTTCAGCTCAAACCTTTCCCAGCTGCAGGCTCCTCTCACAGGGGACAAAAAGCGCTGGCCACAACCTGGGCTTTGGGCTGAGCACAGCGCAAGGGAGAGGGAGGATGCAGAGCAGAGCTCCCTGCCTGTCAGCGATTGCAGCAGCTCCTCTCCAAGCTGTGTCCTCTCTGGAGCCCGTTAGCTGCCAGGCTCCCAGCCAAAGCTGTGCTGTGAGGCCGAGCTCTCCATGGAGCAGCTATTTGCCAGGTAAAGCTGATGGGAACCTGCCGTAGAGCTGCAGGCAGGGCTCCTTCTGGCCCCAGAGGACATCTCCTTGGGCCAATCCTTGCCCTGCATGGGGCTCTTGTGAGCACTAAGAGGTGATGCACACAAATTCGATCTGGCTGTCGAGAAATGTTCCCGTGGGAAATTTTGACTTCTTGACAGAAACTGCAGTGTGTTTCTGTTTCGGTCCCCCCAAAAAAGCATGAATGGGAACAAAGGTTCCATTTTGGCAGGGGGAAGGGACTCACAAAAGAAAGCACCCCAATTTTCAAGCAAAGCAGATGCATCCTGCCATTTTTCCCTTCAGTTGGAAACTCAATTTGTCCCCCCACAAAAAAGAGCAAAACCAAAGGGAAAGCTGTAACCAGCTCTCACTCGATGGGCTGGGGGCAAAGTCAGCAGATTTGGTGAATTCACCTCCTCCCTCAGCACAGGGCTCCTCCAGCCGTGCTCCTTTCATGGGCTGAAGATCCCCCCATTGCAGCCAACAGCATCACTGCCAGCCCCAGTCCCTGCCCAACACCCGAGGGTCAGCAAAGGCTGATTTCCCTCTGGGTTCAGAAGAGAAACCAGGGTGGGCCGATGGTCACGAGCAAATGGGTGGGAACTGAATGGGTTTATTGTGATCTTTATCTAGGAGGATTATTCCAGGCAGTGCGGGCTTGGAAGGATCGTGCAGTTGTTTGGCTGCAGTCGGTGCTGCAGACTGATAGGTACGGCCCCGAGGAATCTGCAGCAGAAATGGACTGTGGAAAATGGCTTCACCGTAGTTTTGCCATTGCAAAACGTTCAGTTCCCAGCAAACCGTGAGGAAAGGGAAGCAAAGTCGGTGATTTTCGTTTGCAAAAGTCTGAACTGTGCGTGGTGTGCAAGGCAGAGCCTGGCAGGACGTCCTGTTTAATTGGAAACTGGGAACCAGATTGGAAATAAACTGGAAGTGAGGGAGATGATAGATGCGCAGCGCCAGCACAGTAACAGATGCATTCTGAGGGACATTACAGGGCACGGCAGAGCAGCCCAGGGGTCCAACAGTGACCACGGGGAACTGAATTTCACGGCATGTTTTCTGCAACCAAAGAACCTGCGCTGGGCTGTGAGACGGGAGGTGAGAACGGTGCGAAACAGCGCAGTTCGCTGCCGGACAGAGGAGAGCAAACCCGGAGACAAACCGCGGCTCAGCGCTGTTCGCACAGCCGGGCACCTCCCCCTGCCCTCCTCCCCGGGCGCTGAGAAACGGCCGCTCCCCGGAGCGCCCCGATGCGAGCCGCGGCCCGGAGGGGGAGCGGAGCTGCTGGGGCTGAGCGCCGCCGGGCACCGGGACACGGCCGGGCACATCCATCCCCACCCGATCCCCGTAACCCGCGGTCGCTGCCAGCTTTGGCCGTGCCTCGGTGTTGAAGGCGCCGGCGAAGAAATTACCCTCTCTGCAAGGGACACATCTGATTGTGATTTGGGGAAAAAAAAAATAAGAATAATAATAAAAAAGTCCAACTAACTCGGCCGCTCGTTTTTGTTATTGTTGGGTTTGGGTTTTTTGTTGGTTTTTTTTTGTGTTTTCTGTGTGTGTGTGTGTGTGTGTGTGGACTTTTTGTTGGAAGACGGAGCCGTGTTCCGGGTAAACAAGGCGGCTGCGGGCGGCGGAATGCCGGGGACGCGGAGGGGAGAGCCGAGTCGAGCCGAGCAGAGCCCGGGACGCTGCCCAGAGCCGCCGTGGGTCACCCCGAATACCCGGCACAAGCAGGGACTGCCATGGTCCCATAATACGAGGAACGAGGGCCGGAGGCTGCGGGGAGCCGTCAGTCGGGGATGCAGAGAAACAGCCCCAACTCGCCAGCCCTGCCCAGGGACGCGCCGTCTCCTTTTCAGGGTCAGCCCCGGAGTTCGCTCTCAACCCGAAAGGCGCGGATTCCTCTCCCGAAACGGAGAGAACCGGCGCTGCCCGTTGGCCCCAGGGCCTTTCCCGTCCCTCCGCCACCTCCCGCACCTCGGGGCGGCTGCACGGGGCATGGGGCCACGGAAGCTCTGCGGGGCTGCTGGTTCGGCAGAGCAGCCCGGCCACCTTCCTCCCCGACAGCGACAGGAGCCGCTCCCCGCTCCGTGCCGAGCTGCGGCTCCTCGCATACGCGGACCCAGCCGACGCCTCCCCGGGCTGCTTCGCGCGCGAACGGCGTTTTACCGCCGTCCTCCGCCTCCCCTCTCCCTGCCCTGATCCTCTCCGCGTCCCCTGCCCTTCTCCTCCCTCCGCCCGCTGTCCCTTGCTCTGCTCACCACGTGCCGTCAGCCGCTCTAACCCCGGTCCCCCGGTGCCACCGACCCGGCGCTCCCGGGTCCTTCCGTACCCCCCGCCTCGCACTGAGCGGTCCGTCGCTGTCTCTTGTCCCACTCTCTGACCCAAATTCCCGTGCCCCCGCCGTCCGTTCACGTTCTCCCGAGATCCCCGCTCTACACCCCGGGTCCCGCAGTTCCTCACCAGTCCGCTCCCGGCTGCCGCGGCTCCATCCCTGCACTCCCGATCCCCCGCTCCTCGCTCGTGTCCCCGAGCGGCCCCTCGGCGTCCCCTCCTTTGCCCCGCACTTCCGCTGCCCGTGTCCCTGGATGTCCCCACGCCTCCCGCTCCCTCTCCCCGGCGGCTCTCCCTGGATCCTCCCCTCCCTCCCTCTGTCCCGGGAAGCTCCGCGCCCCGTTCCTGACCCCGACCCCGGCCCCGGCCCCGGCCCCGGCCCCGCGCTCCCGGCCGCCACTCACCCACGCACTCGTTGGCCTCTCGGGCGGTCGCCCTCTGCCAGGGCCGGTCGTAGTGGAAGGGTTTGCATCGGTCGCACTCGGGCCCGGCCGTGTTGTGCTTGCAGTCGCACACCAGGTTGTCGTCGCGGTCGCGGACGCAGCGGGACGCGTGCCCGTTGCACTTGCAGCGCCCGCCGACCTGCAGGTCGGACACGGCGTAGAAGTAGGAGTCGCGGGCGAGCTCGGAGTCGTCCTCGTTCTCGTCGCCGAAGGTGTGCAGGCGGCTGAAGGTCACCTTGATGTCGGTGGCCGTCACCCAGTCCTGCAGCACGGGCGAGTTGTCGAAGTCGTGGGCCGTGGGGCGGCCGTCCAGGGTGCTGAAGGCGATGAGGCCGCCGGAGAGGGGCCGCACGTCGGTGTGCGAGTCGGTGCAGATGGCCTCCTGCTCGTTCTGCTTGGTGATGGCGGCGCGGCTCGGCTTGTTGTACATCTTGCGGCACTGCGTGGAGTAGAACTGGAAGGGCACCCACGTCTTGCCGTAGTCCATGGACTTGTAGATGGCCATGGACTCGGGGCGCGGCGAGCAGAACTGCAGGCTCACGTAGGTCACCTCGAACTTCTTGCCGAGGGACAGCGTGAGGGTGACGTTGTGCGGGTACTGCACGTAGCTGTCGGACTGCCAGCACGTCAGGTTGTGCGGGTTGTTGAGGTCGGTGAGGAAGGAGGGCGGGTGGGCGCGCTTGGGGTCGGAGGCGTTGCAGAGGTGGCACGAGCGGACCTGCTCATCGCCTTTCTCCGTCACCACGCAGTACCTCGACGGCGGCTTCCCGCAGGTGCTCGACACCTTCACCTCCTTGCCGAAGGCCGAATTGACGAAGTCGGGGATGCAGCGGCGGGGCAGACCGTGCTCGTCGTAGCAGGGGTCGGGCTGCGCCGTCTGCACGGCGAACATGTTCAGCCCGGGGTAGCCGCCTCGCAGCGGCTGTGCCAGCCACGCGGCCGCCAGCAGCAGGGCGAGCGGCCCCTCCGCGCCCCTCCGCGGCATCGTGCGCGGCGCAGCGGGGCTCTGAGCGGGGCGGCTCGGCCGGCGGAGGCGGTGCGCGGTGCGCGGCTCACGGAGCGCGGAGCATCGCCCGCCCCGCGGCCAAACCCCGCGGAGAAAGGGAGAGCGGAGAGGCGACGGCCCCACAAAAGTGCCGCTGGCGGCGGGGCTGGGTCCCGCCTGCCTCCCGCCCCGGCTCTCGCACGGAGAATGACTGGCGGTCCCAGCCCCCGCCGCGTTTGAGGTCATGCTAAAGGAGTGACATTGCGCTCAAGGAACAGAACAACGACATCCACTGGCGGCTCAGCCAGAGACACGCACAGGCGTCGGGGTGTGTGTATGGGGGGGAGGCGGGGGGGGATGGGAGCGCAGCCCGGGGGGCCTCCTCGACTCGGCGGTGATCGGCGCCCCGGGAGAGCGGGCATGGGCCCGGCTTCCCCCTCGCCTCTGGTCCCCCCGCCCCACGGTTCGTCCTGAGCCCCGACGGGGCGGCAGAAGCCCGAGGCTTCGGGAGGGGCACCGGGGCCTTCTGCCCCTCGCGCTCAGCAGGATCCCCTCTTCTCCCCGTCCCCAGGACGCACCGGACCTGAGACCCCTCAGCAAGGTGGGGGCTGCCCGTGAACGCAGGCTGAGCGCTGCCGAGGATCTCCCCGTGCAGGTGCCCAGAGCCGCTCACAGGGGGACTCGCGGCCCGGCGGTCCCTGCCCAGAATCTGGGAAAGAAAACATTTACCGACCTCCCCAGCCCGACCCTGGGTGCTGGGGGACCTCGACCCCCCCGCCCCGAGCTCGTAGACTCCACCGCCCGGACGGAGCGGAGCCCCGGGAGCGGCAGAGCATCCTGGAGAGCGGCCGCCCTGCTCGGCCCCCTGCCTCCCGCAGCCGCTTCCCTTCATTAAGAGGGCACTTTTATTTTTCCAACGGAGGTGCCCTTTCTCGGAGCGCTGCCCACGCCGTGTCACTCAAGCGGCCGAGTCCTGGCACGGCGACGCGGCCCCTCCGCTGCCAGCCCCGACGGGGCGGCCCGAGGGGACGGGGCTGCCGGAGCTGCGGTGAACCCCAAGCCGGCCTCCGCCCCCTCCTCTCCGCCCGCCCCTCTCTCCGCTTTGAATTCCTTGCCACCGAGCTGAATAAAAGTGGTTGTTGTAAATTGAATTAGTGCCTGATTAATCTGCTCCCGGGCCTGCTAGCCCAGCGGGGCGTCTTTGGCAATGCAACCGCCTTCCCTGCAGGGCAGCGGGGCTCCGCAGCCTCCCTGCCCCCATCGCTCCCCCCGGCCCCCCCCGGCAGTCCCACTGCTGCTGGGATTTGTTAACTCTTCCTCGGAAAGCAGCCCCTCCACTCCCGACGACCTCTCTGCTTTGGACCCCCCGAACCAACCCTGGTTTCAGAGCCGTCGGGGCACCTCAGAATGCACTGCCCGGCTGCCCCCTCCCGAGTCGAGGTTCCTCCCCCCCCTCTCCACCACTGCACCCTATCGTGCACCGTGCCAGGAGCTTCTTCTCCAGCCACACGTGTCCGTGACCCAAGCCCTCCCCACCGGGACGCCTTGTGCGGAACTCCTACAACCTTGAGGACCCGGGGGCGGCCTGGGAGCACAGCAGGTGCCCTTCCGACGGCTGTCCGACCCCCACGGCCCGCGGTGCCTTTTAATCCCATTATCGGGCTGTTCATTTAACAATCACCCGGCGCTGCCGAGCAGGAGGGACGGTGCTCCCGGCCGCGAAGCGCCGTCCTGCCCCTCCTTCCGCGTGTATTCAGCGTTTCACAACCGCCGGCGTTTCTAATGGCTCTTGCGGTCATTAACGTGATTTACGGAGGCTTTCCTCTAATTACCTCTCTCTCGAGCTATTAAATGAGGGTAAGCAGAGCGGTGGAGACCGAAGCGCGTTCCCCGGGGCCGGTTCCGATGCTGCCGCCCTCTCGGGGCCGGGAGGCCGGGACCGAACCCACCGAGGGATGCTCGGAGCCGTGCCCCAGAACCCAGTTTGGGATCGGTTCTTCCCATCGTTAAGCACCAGAGCGGAGGACACGGAGCTTCGTCGACCGGAGAATGCCTGGGATTGGGACCGGGAGCCCCGACGGGACAGGGCGAAGCGGCCCTTTCCCCAGGTTGGCTGGGAGAAACCTGGTGAAAAAGGGAGGCGAAGGATTTTACTTCGGCCAGGAAACGTGACGATTGGAGCCTGTTTTAAAAGTCAAATCGCTTAGCATCCCGGAGCTCGTCCACCTCCTCGGGAACAATGCGCTGCTCCGGGCCCACCTCCCCCTGCCACCGCCCGGCCCTGGGCTGGAGGAAGGACTGGGAGGGGGGTGGAAGCCGAGCGGCTCTTCTTCCCCTCCCCAATTTCTGGGGCCGTCCCCCCGGCGGGACCGGGAGCGGCTGGAAAGACAGAGAAGACCCGGGTTGAAATAATCAGGAGCGATTTATTCCCCCGGAGTGACAGTTCTTTTGAGCGGTTGCCGAATGGCAGTTTCTGTCTTTCTGAAAGCTTTTCTTCCAGATTCTGTTCAGATTAGGCTGGGGAGATGAATGAGGCCATTATCCAGCCCAGTAGCTATTCTGAAATGCCAAATTAATTACCAAGGGCTAAATCAAGGCCCTGGGGGCTGGAGGGGAGGGGTGTGTGTGTGTGTGTGTGGGAGGGGGGAGGGGGGAAGGAGAGCGTCGATTTGAGGTGTGAAAATATCTCTGCGATCATTGAAAGCCGGGTGCCGGGACACCTCGCCCTGTGTGACACCGGGAGCGACGCCGGGGGGCTCATCTCTGACCCACCCCCATTATTCTGCCCGGTCCCCTTCACCTCTGCGGCTCTCGGAGGTGAGCAGAGCTGGAACTGCCCGACCCATCCGTCTCAGTCCCGTCCCACTGTGGTCCAGGTGTTCTCACTCCACGCCCTCATAGAGCTGTGCTGATCCGACTGCAGTGCTGGCAGATGGGCTCACTTGGGAATGTGGCAAGAAGGCACTTCCCCGTGGCTCTGCCAGCACCGTCTGCTCGTGGCATTTAGCTCTCCCAATGGAAGCTCTTTGGCAGTTATTGTTATTATATTACTCTGATATTTACACTTCTCTCCCAAGCAAATATCATTTGCACATAAGCCCTTGATCATGTTACAGGTTCTCATCCCATAAGCCACTTTTCTCTTCAGTTCCCAGGAAAGCACACCTTTATCTCCTCTCATTTAGGCAAAAATCACTCGATTTAGGGAACAGTAATGCACACCTTGAGTGCAGGCAGAGCTGGATGTGTGGCTGACACAAAGCCAAGGGCACACGGCCGCCACATCACAGGTCAGCCTGCTGAGCCCCTGAGCAGAGTGCTGGCAGCAGGGAGAGCAGAGCCAGGCAAGGCTTATCCCTAACCTATGCAGTCCTTGCGAACGGGGAATAAGCAGCAGAGAGATTTCCCATGGGCTGAGAAGTGGGCTGTAGAAGGAATCAAGCCTTTAATGTAAATTGGCCGTGGCTGGCAGAGCCCACTGAACACTGGGCTATTCAGCATCGCTGTGAACCTCTAATGACCAACTTGGATTTCAATTATACACCCAGAATTGCCACCAAGTGAGATAAGCCCTTGGAATACTATATTTTCTCTTCTAGGGCCGGCAGACTGGAAAGCTCTGTGTGCCATACGTGATTTATTTGGGGCAGAACAGGCTGACACGCAGTAGCTGTACCCTATGGCTGAGCCCAGGGATTGGCAGGTGGGTTTGGTCCCCACAGGGACTGCCACAGTGCAGGCACCAAACGGGCCCATGGGAACAGGGGCACTCCTTGGTGGTAAAACTGCTAAAGGCAATGGTTGAGCTGTGCACCCCAGCAGATGCCGTGATTTCATTCGGATGGGTGCAGGTGCAGCAGAACCAAAAACAGTGTGGGTCAGCCATGGCTGTCTTCTGCACACTGAGGTGCTGTCAGGTGGAAAAAGCAACTGGGAGCTCAGTCTGCTGGGAATGCAATACCTGGATCTCAGATATGGATCTGGGACCATGGGTCAGGATCTGGGTGCAAGCCCACCTTTGGCAAAGTGCTTTGCAGGCTTTGGACTCGCTGCTTTGTGCTGCTTGGAGCCCTGCAGCACACCAGAGCTTCTCAGTGTTCCCTTAAAATGGCTCACTGGGGTGAAGACAGCTCCTCACCTGTGCTGCAGGATGATCTCTGGTTGCCATGAAGCTGGCAGCAGCTCCGAGTGTGTGTTTGGCTCTGGTGTAAGGATATGGCCCACATAGGGGCCATCCAGGAGACCCCTGAGGCCAAGATTTCCTATGGGACCCAGGCAAGGCCATGGAGCTGACACACAGCTCTGGTTGGGGATTTTCCTCCCCGCTGAGTCAGAATAGAGTCGTGAAAAGGAATTTGATCTCCTTAAGCCGATGTCAGGCAGAGATCGGCCCTGGGCAGAGCTCTGGGTGGGAGGGGGCTGTGTGGGGCCGGGCAGGAGAAGCAGCGTGCTTCATGGAGCGGGCAGTGGCGATGTGCAGCCCCACGGCTCCCGAGCTGCTGCCTTCACCTCCAGCATTTGTGCTCAGTCTGCAGAGGGAGCTGGCAGTGCCCCACGTGCAGGGCTCGGAGTGACAAGGACAGATCACCCACAGGACAGCAGGACACGGGTTTTTCCCAAGCCTTACCCAGAGCGCTTTGCAGCAGTCGCCCTCTTTTTGGCAGCCATCCTGGCCTAATTATAATTAAGTATGTATTAAGAGGGTTGAAGTGGCCTTCAAGTGGCTATAACCTTTTAATAGGGGAACCTGTGGGAGGGCAGCAGGAGCGCGCTACAGCCGGGCAGCGAGGTGCTGGGAAGGGCTGGGAAGGGCTGGGAGCATCCTTCAGAGACACCCGCCTCATCCCCAGGGGGCTGCAGCCCCCAAACCCAGCCATGCTCCCCCTAAGGCAGGGACTACATTCCCCAGATGCTCAGCAGGGCAATGCTGCCTGCACCCTGGGCAAAGTTTTCTGGTGTCTGCAGCAGAAAAGGCTGTGACAAGCTTATGGCAGCTGCTG